TTTCTCTGTAACTCTGCCTTTTACATAAATAATAAATAAATCTTAAAAAAATAAAGCAGCTTGATTTAGGTATTTCATTATGGTAACAAAAAGGTGACTAACATTTGACTAAATATTATGTGAAGTACTGCTCTAGGCATTTGGAATAAGCAATCAATAAGAGAATATTATTCCTATTCTTATAAGGCTTGTATTGTATGTACTAAGGGAGGAGAAAATCAATCAGCAAATATACACAAAAGAAAACCATGTAACTTTAATTGCAATGAAGAAAATCACACAAGATTATATGTTACAGACGGAAAAGGTGGGGTGGGATTTTCAGTAGTGGGCAGGGTTAGTTTTTCTAGAAATACTGCATTTGTACTGGGTTCTAAATGATAAGGATTTAGTAGGTATAAGATGTCGAGCAAAGAGAGTATTCTCATAGAGGAAACCATGACCAGAATTCTCAGAGCTGGCAATGACTGCAGTGTGTTCAAGGAAGAAGGGAGGCCAGAGTGACCAGGGCAAAGTGCGAGAAAGCAAGGAATTAAATCTAAAGTGTAGCTGGGTGCCAGACCCTGAAGGACCTTGTGAAGCTGCTATACGGAATCTCAACTCTTTGGAATGTGATGGGAAAGTGATGGAGAGTTTTGTGCAACTTTCTTGCATGCCCTAGCTTTCCCTCTGCTGGAGGGGATCACCTCTTAAGAGGAGGAGGAAAAACAATAGGATGAGGCTGAGATTGAGCACTAGATGGCTGTTTGCTATGAACTCAACTTCAGGCTAAAAGGACTTTATTAGTAATATTGAGGTCAAGGCCTTGAGGTGTGGCATTGTTGAAAAGACTAGATCACCTCTGAGAGCAATGCCCTTGGTGATGTATACAGGCCTATACTCCTGTTTTGCCTGTAAAATCTACTAGAGCCCTGCTTTTCAAACCTTGACATGCTTACTAAACACCCCTGTGTTCAAATGCAGATCTGTTTTGGTAAGTTTGGGGTGCTGCATTTCCAAGCATCTCCCAGGGGATGCAGAGGACAAAGAGAATGTTAACCTGAGCCTCTGACCAGGATGCAGCAAAGATCATTGTGCCTTCATATAAACTGAGGTAGATGAGGAGGAGAGAACAGGAACCATTTGAAATCAGACCTAGGCCCATGGAACCCTGGACTGAACAGTGAAACCACCTGGGCCATACCCAGTCAAAATCCGGGAAGTTCCAAGCAGTCACTCCAGATGCCCTCCTGAGGCTGTCAGAACCATTTGTCCAAGAACTTCTTTGAAAGACAGAAATTTGAAATCATGCCTGCACCCTGAGCGTCCAGGGCTGAACAGTAGGGTTGGTTGACCCTGACCCAGTGACACCCCAATTCTGTCTCCTTGACACACTAGGATCTCCCGGCCTGCTCCTTCAGAGAAGGTTCCCACTTTGCATTGCTTCAGAATCTTACACAGGATATTAGCCACTTCCTTCTCTATAATTCATCCTTCCATTCTGCCATCTGGAATATTTCTGTTTTACAAGTGTCTAAGTTGTTAAAGTCTGAGGCAGTGGAATCCTAAATTAGCCATTTTGGGTAATTTATTGTTTTTAATGATTTCTTCCAAAAATTCAGATTCTGTGGTTTGAGGCAGAATCCAGCAGGATTTCTGCTTCCTATTTGGACATCTGGTGGTCTGTCCTTTCCAGGTCTTCTCTGGGTTTATTTTTCAGCCTCCCACGAGAGGCCATTGGAAGGTTTCTTCAACTCACTCCTTCCACCACATCCATTTTTTACCCCTGCCCCAACGTTATCCCAAATGCCATGATCAGGTCCTTTACGGTAGGAACTGAAATAGAGTTGGTTGGGGCTGATAGTCTGTAATTTCAATTGTAACGAAAGGTCTTACTGTCCCTAAAATATCTTTCTACTGATAACCCAAATCCTACTTTAGAAATACTTTAGGTCACTCACTATATTCTTTATGTCTGGGGAGACAAACTGTAGGTGGAATTAAGTACAGGGTCAGCAATGATGTTGGGCCAAGGAGACCTTATATTTGTTAACATGTCAAACCTGAAACTGAGTAAAATAGGTGATATCATCCCTACTCTACAGATGAAGAAACAAAGGCCAGGAATAACTTTCCCAAGATATCCCGAGTTACCGAATGATTTGTAAGTCCATATGTTTGTCATTATTTGATGCTATCAGGTTAGTATCAGAGGGTTAGCTGAGGAACACTGAGCAGGACTGACAATCAGATTCTGGGAGTATTCAAATGTGGGGTAAGCGGGCATAATCAGTAAGTAGCCAGAATGAGCACAAACTTTCAGAAACAGGGCACCAGATAAAAGACAGAAGCATATATTGAGTTAACCTTGGCATTATTGCAAGATTTTACGAGCTGCTTTGTTTATGGTAAGAGTCACACTCTAAGTTTGGCTACCTTGAAACTTCCAAGTAGAAATGAATGACAATAACCTGCTTTATGGAAATCTTGAGTAGGAGTGGGGCAAGATGAATTCATCCTTGGAAGCCTTCTCCTGATCTTATTTGAAGAGGTGTTCTTAGGTAATAATACCCTGGTGGTTCTCAGTCTGTGGGAGCTTGTGAATAGTAAGAATACCTGGGCCCCATCCAACACCAACAGAGTCGGGTTTCTAGGTGTGGGGCCCTGGCATCTATACTCTCTGAAGTTCTCCAGGGCTGATGAGCAGCCAGGGTTGAAACCACAGCCTCGGGATAAATGAGCCTTCTAGTTTTCCTTTCTCTGAGAAGGAAGGCAGAACTGCAACACCACACAATTCTAGGGAACAAAGTGGAGGAGAAGCGGAAAGTTTTCTGGTGCTGAAAATTGGAAAACTGAGTCTTTCTCTTTTGAAAGGAAATGCAGACAAGTTTTAACCACCCCACAATTTTGTCAAAAACATGAGCCACCCAGAGGTTCTCTTCCTCCTATGTTTTGGTTAGTTGAACTTGCAATGTTTAGCCTTCATGTGATCGAGGAAACGATCTACCATGGTAATACATTATACTCATTGTAAAAGCTCAATTTTAAGACACATTTCACAACAGGGTCTCTCACTTGCCTAAAGGACTGGCAGCCAGGGGAAGTGGTGCATTGTCAATTTGAGACCCAGCAACTCTAAGGGACGGAGTGGTTATTGCTTCTGGCCAAAGTTGCTTACCAAGTCACTGGGGAGCTGAGCAAGGCCTCTGCCCTCACACAGCTATCTTCTCTAACTGGAACACCATTGGAGATGGACTTGGAATGTGATAAGGAAGGTGATTGTCCCTGTAAAATGGACAACAGGGGATCCTGAGGGGGTGGTCTCTATGTGCCCAGCTCTATGCAGCTTCATAAAGGCCACCAGAGGACCTGCAGTGCTGTGGTCACAGATTCTACTCTGCAAGTCTCTCTTTTTGGAATTGCTGCAAGACCCAGGAAGATAAACTAAATCCTACTGAATCAGAAATGAACTGTAAAAGATTATGGGAACTTCAGGGAAAGATGAATCCCAGCTGGCATTTGCTCTTTCCTCACTTATCCTGGGTCTATTTCTTGAGAATTGTTACAAATCAGAAGAGAGGAAATGGACTAGACCTACTCTATCAAAATAAACTCTTTTCTGAAGAGAAGGCTTGGCCAAGAGAGAAAGCATAGACATCCCATAGAGTTGAACTAGGTTTAAGAGATCGTCAAAGTAAGTATTCATTCAGATTGTGCGGGAAACAAAAATGTCTCCCTCATCTCACATAAGTACATTTGATTAGTAGAATGTAATCCAAATGTAGAAATCTAGCTGCAAGGAAGTCTGAGAGATGCAGTTTTTGTTCCCAACCCTCTAAATAAAAGGATGTTGAAAAAAGTTGGAGAGAGCCAATCCAAATATCTGCCACCGTCAGCATTTCTCCACCTATCTACCACAGACTAGTGAGTTGTGGCTAGATGTTATCGTTTTTTTAGGGAGGTTTTGTATTCAAATGGATTTAAGCCATGCTTGGCAAAACAAAGTTAAATTATGCTTATTTACTGTACTGTATATCAGAATATTTTATATCCACATGTGCACCCTAGTTCTAAATATTTTGAGAAACTTGAGCTGGGTAGACATCTTATTGAAGTCCGTTTTGATGCATAAGGAAAATGGAGTCCAGAGAGTTGAACAACTTGCCAGATGCTCAATAATCATTTATTGGCAAAACCTGAACCAGAATCCATGCTTCTTGATTACTTGAGATTGTCCTTTCTGCTACGAGGAGATACAAAGTTTAGGAACAGGCAAGCAAGAAAGAAGATGAAATGGACAGGAAGGTGAGGGGCTGGCACCTGGAGTGAGGCTGTGCATCAGTGTTTCCCCCAGTTATTGAAAGCAGAAAACAAACAAACAGAAAACCCCACTCTCTATGTGTCCTGACCCAGGGCCAGAAAGAATTCATTAAAGATCAGAGTTTCCACCCACATCACCATTCCTTCTCACATGTGCCTGGAGTATCTTGGTGATTTGGTCTTGATTAGTGGCAGGGAAAACTGGTTCTGTAGGACATGTTGTCTTTATAAATAGAACACAGTCCAGTGGTTTCTAAACAGTCAGGAGACGCTCTGTCTTCTGGCACCCACCATTTATTTGTATCTGTTTCATGAAATGCATCTCCCCCGATTCTAGGATCTGCCCCATTACATGTTTGTTCTCCTGCCCCAGATGTGTTGTGCAGATTTCCTGGCCTCTTGACTCAAATCTCCAGGGTGGAGCTATTGGGCACTGTCTCTTCTGGTCCCTGCCAACGTTGGCACTGCGGGGAGGATGTTTGTGTTTGTCGAGGAGTTGGGAGGCCTCTGAATTTTGGCGGTAATTCCTCCCCAGATAGTCCACTTAGGAAAAAGAGGGAAAAGATAAATATGCTCCTCAGCTGCCACCTCACAGTAGCCTTATTGCTTTCTCGCAAAAAATTGCATACTTTGTGGATTTTTCAAAGCAGCTTGTTTGTGTGTGTCAGTGCTCTCTGATTTGAGCCAACCTTGTCACTCACCCAAAATGTAGAAAGGAAATCTCCACTCAGCAGCGATACCTTCAAGCCTTTATTAAAAGCCTGCGGGGTGGGATAGTTGATGGTATGGTACAGATTCCCTCCGTCACCCCTGACTTTCCATCATCCACATTTGCTCTCTGCTTCCGGTGGCGAACACAAACTCTCATCCTCAATCAGCACTGCCTGAAATCACAGCATTTCCTTCTCTGATGGATGCAGTATGATTTTATGCAGATCACTGTGGACATGGGGAAGACAATAATTTGTGAAGCATCCCACCTTATAGTCAAGACTCTTTTGATGGTAAGTAACAGAAAAGCTAACTCAAATAGCCCCCACCAAAAAAAATAACGTAATGACCACTGACAGAACAGGTAGGTGATAGATGTACTTCTTATGTTGCTGGATCCAGGAGCTAAATTGATGTTATCAGAACCCAGGCTCTTTCTGTCTCCTTCCTGTCCCCTCTAGATGACATCATCCTCAAAAGAAATTTTCTCCATGTCTTGTTCCCCAGTTGTCCCACCCTGCCTTTCTTCCAGCTCCAGGTCCAGCACAAAGTGAGACTGTATTCTACTATTGCTCAACCAAGCCCTGAGATGAGTCTCATGGAACCAGTTTCAACCACATCCATACTCTTGAGAACAGGACCCATTCAGCTGTCTGACTGGTAAGGCTTGGGTCATGGGCCTACTTCCAAAGCCACAGATGAAGCATGGTTACCAATAGATGCTGATCAGGGAAAAATACTGTTACACTCTGTTGATTCATTCATTCATTCATTCATTCATTCGTTCATTCATCTTGCAAAGATGAATTGAGGACCTAATTCATGCTAGAAGCCATGGATAGAATACATAGGCAATTTCGACTTGTTTTTCAGAGTGCAGTTCAGGAATCATCAATTCTGGGATGAATCTTTACACTGTTGTCCCTTCTGCAGAGTTAGTTATTCCCTCTTGAGGCCCCTGCTTTTCCTGACTCTGGCATATACCATTTGGGTGTCTATTGATGTGTCCTCTTCTTTTGCCCTAATTCACTGTGAGCTCCTGGAAGACAGGCATAGTGTCTTATTTATGTTGGCCTTCCCAGATACCCACAGCAGGCATAGACAAAGCGCTCAAAATACCTTTGTTGAATAAATGTATGAATGATGAGTTAATTATTTAATTACTTAAGTAATAAATGTTCTTCTCAAACTGTTAAGGGAAATAAATCCAGAAATACTGTATGATTCATAGGAAAACAACCACATGAGCAAAAGGCTGGAACACATAGTGGAAGACGACATGGTCAATGTCAGTGTCAAATTCTTAGAAATTTTAAAGAAATTCTGTTATTTTAAATCTAAATCTATCAGCTTGTGACTTCTAGTCTTAGCTCATCATTCTTGAACAACCTCGAATAAATCTATCTAGCAGATTCTAGCATCTGAGATAATTCCTGACAACACATAAATCACTAATAAATATTTCTAAAGTGAATTAATTACATCTTTTCCTGCTATACAGCCATGTCAGTGGGTAAAGGTAGATAAATTATCCTACCCTTTAGTGTTCTCTGTTGATGACTATGCTATCATGAGTATTAGAATACTTTATTGTTGACATTCATCTCTGATTGAATGTTTGAATCCCCGAAGTCCAACTGAAAATGGGTTGTTGGGAAACTGAATTGAAGTTTCTTTTAGGTAAAATGTAATTGCTATGGTTTGAATTCGTTTTGAGTGTGTCACACAGGGTTCACCTGTTGGAAGCAAGGACCTTAGTTTTATAATGTTGAAAGGTGATACGGAACCTTTAATAGATGGGACTTTGTGTAAGAGAATGAGGTTGTTGAATGTGCTGCCCTCAGAACAGATTAATGTAATTCTTATGGGACCCTGATTAGTTCTCGTGAGAGTGGGTTGTTATAAAACAGTGATCCTAATCACTAAGTCTCTCTCTTGACTTCCATTATTACAATGGGTTGTTCCTGTAGGTAGTCCTCCCACTTTGATGCCATCAGCCATGAGTTCCCTCACCAGAGACCAAATCAGTTGGGCCATTCAATATTGGACTTTAGTTTCCAGAACTGTGGGCTAAATAAACTTCTTTTCTTTTAAAGTGCTGAAGCTCTGGCATTTTCTTATAGCATGAGAAAATGTGGGCTGGCATCGCGGTAAGCTGCCACTTGCAACACCGGCATCCCATCCTGGAGACTGGTTTGAATTCTTTCTGCTCCACTTCAGCTCCAGCTCCCTACTAATGTGCTTGGGAAAACAGTGTAAGACAGCCCAAGTGCCTGTGTCCCTGCTTCGCATGTGGGAGGCCAACCTGGTCCAGCCCTGGATGTTGCAGCCATTTGAAGAATGAACCAGCACATGGAAAACAGCTCCCATTGCACTGTTCTCCATCAGTCTGAGAGTGGTAGTAAGGCAGGCCCAATCCTACGGAATTTTTTAGTAAGTTGGCTCTAGAAGTCTCCTTCAACCTATTGAAACTTTTCCTAGCATGCTCTCCCCTTCAAATAGAGCCAGGCAAGCATTAGAGCTCTCTCTTTCTCTCTCTGATTCCTCTGATTCCCCCACCCCACCCCCTGTCCACCTCACAGACATTTCTTCAGTTAAACTCTTGCTTGTCTGATCTCATCTTGGCCTCTGCTGCCCAGAGGAGCAGGACTAACCCCTAGGTGATCTTGCAATTGCACATAGGAAACATGTTGCAGGGAGACTACTGCAAGCCCAGCAGTTGGTGGGTACTCCCTCCTGTGGGGTGGAGGGGGAGAGGTGGTCAATCAAGGAAGTGTCAGTGGGAGCAGGAGGAATTAGGTCTTCCTACAGGGGTTGGAAAAGATCTGTAGTGCTTACAGTGCCATTAGCATGCCATCTTACCCAAAACCCCATGGCAGGTGGAGGATATGTTCCTCCCCATTACCAGACTTATATTTCAGACCATGTCATATTTTGTTTCACTTCATTTACACATTAAGGTTACTTTGAGATTCACTTTGACCTGATTTTAACACAGGAACAAATGGAAGTGGAAAGAAACGTTTCTGATACAATTTTTCTGAGTCTCTGTGCTCTGCCTCCCATCAACATTACCTGTGGACCCAGTCCAGATGGAGACACATATAAGCCCGCTTCAAAACTTTCTTGGAAAACAGAATTAAAAGGTATGTTTATTTTGGTGCAAACATTTTTGAAATTCATACATAGAGGGGTTTTCATGGGAAATGTATATGATCAAAAATTATGCATGGGTTTCAGGAATTTTTTGCATCAAAATGAACTTTTAGTTCCATTTTTCCATTAAATTTTTCAAGTTTGCTTGCACATATCAGGGAAGTAATTTAGGGCTGCTTTCACATTTATTCTTTACATATCTGCTCAACATTTTGTAGGAATGGAAAAATCATGAAGTAAGAGTTTTCTTATATTCAACATATGTATTTTTCCATATATACACTCATAATATATATAATCATATATATGAACATATATATATATATAAAAACATACTCAATGTTTTGAAATTTTTTGTTCAAGAGACAGAGGAGGTCAGTAATATGGTGTATAAGGTTAAGCCTCTGCCTGCGGTGACAGCATCCCTTATGGGCACCGGTTTGTGTCCCGAGAGCTCTTGTTCCTATCCAGCTCTCTGCTGGGGATGCGGTGGAAGCTGGCTCCATGTCCTTGGGCCCCTCTCCCACGTGGGAGACCCAGAAGAAGCTCCTGGCTCCTGGTTTCAGCCCGGCCTAGCCCCAGCTGTTGCAGCCATTTGAGGTGTTAACCAGCGGATGGAACATCTCTCCCTCCTTCTTGCTCTGTATCTCTGCCTTTCAAATAAATAAATAAATGAGAGAGAGAGAGAGAGAGAGAGAGAGAGAGAGATCAAGAAAAGAGACAGAGAGACAGAGCTGCCACCTGCTGGTTCAGTCTCCAAGTGAACGTAACAGCTGGGGCTGGGCCAGGGCCAAAGCTGGAAGCTGAGAACTCAGTCCAGATCTCCCAGATAGGCAGCATGAAAACAATTATCTGAGCCATCATTGCTGCCTCCTATGGTCTGCATTGGCAGGAAGCTCGAATTGGGAGCTAGAGTCGGAAATTGAACCCAAATATTCCAAAATGGGGCAAAATAATCTTAACTAGCACCTTACCTGATAAGCAGATAAATGTCTGCTTCAGCATTGTGAATTTCTAATTTTCAGAATTTCAGCAAGTTGCACAGTTTCAGGGTACTCTCAGAGAGGCAGTCTCAAAGTTAGAAGCCTTAAACAAACCATGTAAAATACCATGTACAGAACACAAATATATCAACAGTGATAAGCTGGAAGCAATAAGGGAGTGTTTAATTGCAGCCAAACAAATTTATGTTTTGTTAGCAATTGTGTGTAGAAACCTGAATTAACTGGCTTCCTACTCCAGTTTTATTCCAGTGACATTTTATTTACCCATGCAGCTTGGCACTCAGGACAACTGCCCAATGGCTCACCCATTCATCTGGTGTATGTCATCGTTAGCCCAGAGTGTAGAAGGACTTGGCCTTCAACATCAAATCATGTCTGTGAAACACCCTCTGGAGAGCTTGAGTGCCATCTGGCCAGGGTAAGACCTGGCATGGGAGAGCCCAGTGGGGACAGAGGAGGGGATCCTGTGCTGATCCACGTACCAGGGAATGCAAAGTGGGGCTATAGTTGGAAACCACACCTATTGGACGCAGGGGGAGACAAAGAGGTGTGGGCCAAAGAGCTATCATCTTCCCTGGCTGGTCTCTGAAGCTGTCAGAGGAAGGCACTCCCTGACAGACTAAGGAAGGAAGCGTGCCTCAAGAACTAGTCAGATTCCGATCTGGCTAAAAGGTCCATGAGAGTCTCACAGGCATGGAAAGCCATGACACGGTGGCAAAAAACAATCTAAATGAAAGATCCTGGTGAACAAGACCCCAGCAGAAGGATCAGGCCATCAAGGAGAGAGGCGCCTTTCTCTGAAGGGAGGAAGGAACCTCCACTGTGATACGGCCTTGACTAAACAAGTTCAGAGTCGGTGAACTCAAGGGGCTTCCATAGCCTAGACAGCTCATAGCAAGAGTCTCGGGTGATTGCTGACATCATAAATAAGAGTGCCAATTGTTAAATCAACAACGGGAGTCACTGGGTACATGCTCCCCACGTAGGATCTCTGTCCTTAATGTGTTCTACTATGAAACTTAAAAACAACACTACTAGTTGAACAGTACCCTATACCTTGTGCGGTTGTGTGAGTGCAGCCTGTTGAAATCCTTACTTAGTATATACTAAGTTGATCTTCAGTATATGAAGGTAATTGAAAATGAAACTCGATGAAGGGCGGGATGGGAGAGGGTGTGGGAGAAGGGAGGGCCACGGGAGGGAGGGAGTTTGTGGGGGGAAGCCACAACAATGCAAAAGTTGCACTTTGTAAATTCACATTTATTAAATAAAAAAAACTATATAACAAAGAAAAAAAAAGAACTTAAAAAAAAAAAAAGAACTAGTCAGAAGCAGATATGTGCATAGATGGGAGAGCTTCCAGGAAAGAGGCTCCATATTAGTGGTTGCTTGGGAGTGAGAATATATGTGGGATGGCTATGTTCCACTTGCCTTAATAATATTTGCACAGGGTCAGAGACCTCAGGCTATGTTCTGGCTCTCCGGAATGGATGTGCTGTACACCACACTTGGTGACTTAAAGCACAACAGTCAGCATCTCTCAGAGTTCTTGAGTTGTTGGGTTCATCTAGATAGTTCTCTCTTGGACATCTTGCCTGTGGATTCAGTCAGAAAGTGGCTGGTGCTGCAGTCCTCTGAAGGCTTGCCTGGGCCAGGCACCCTGGAGGGCTCATCCACATGGGTTCGCATGTGAATTCACAGTTATGGTTGGCTGTCAGTGTACAGCTCTGCTGAGGCTGTCTCCTGGAACACCTGTATGTGGCTGGGGGATTTTCCTGGTGCAGCTCCTGGCTTCCAAGAGGGAACAGCTTGGGGGCTGGTGCTGTGGTGTAGCAGGTCAAACTGCCACTTACAATGCAGGCATCCCACATGGGTGCCAGTTCATGTCCCAGCTGCTCCACTTCTGATCCAGCTCCCTGCTAATGCACCTCGGAAAAGCACTGGAAAGAGGCCAAAGTGCTTGAGCCCGTGCCACTCACGTGGGAGATCTGGAAAAAGCTCCTGGCTCCTGGCTTCAGCATGGCCCCAGCACTGGCCACTGTAAACATCTGGGGAGTGAACCAGTGGATGGAAAATTTCTCTCTCTGTCTCTGTCTCTTTCTCTCTCTGTAACTTCGACTTTCAAATAAAAATTAAATCTTTAAAAAAGAAAGAGGGAAACAGCTCTTGGTGACACCCTCAGGAATCCCAGATTTGGGTTAGTTAAGTGAGGTCACTAAGGTCTGCCCAGTTTCAAGAGGAGGGAATTCAGACTCCTCTTCTCGACAGGAGAAGCATGTACATTTAGAGAGTGCAGGGATTCATGGCTGCTGTCTTTGACTATCTACCACTTCCTTCCTTGGAATGTGTCTAACTCCTCACTCCGCTTCCTCCCCTATGATTCCACACAAGAGAACCTAGCACAGTGCTGAGACAAGCACTGTGAGAGGTAGTGTGGTATAATGGTTGAGAACATGGACATTAAGACAGCAAGATCTGGATTTGAGGGTATAGCCTTTTCCACTTCCCAGCTGTGGACTTTGGGCAAGTTGCTTAACCTCTTTGAACCTCAGTTGGCTTATTTGAAAGAGGGTGGTATATACTTCCAGGTATGGCTGTGGGATTTAAATGTTGCCTGGAAAAGAATAAGCATTCAATAATTATTTACTGGTAGAAATAAAAGTAAAGACCCCAGCACCCTTTTGTTCATATTGATTCAGCCACTGAGGTGGGCTCAGGGTATATAGCACCACAAGGCAGGTAATTTTGAGAGCTTCAGCTAATGTTCAGGTCTTCTCAATAAGCAGATGAAGTCCAGAAACTACACTCAGGAAGATAATGTCAAGGTTCTAGGGGTGAGTATTGCCAGGGCGACCCTTAGAGGACTTAAAGAAGGAAGGAATTTGTCCTGGAGAATAAAAATGAAGGGGCAGATTGTAATCCATGCAGAGCATGTCGACAGAGGCAGTGTGGGAGGGAATAGGGGAGGAACTCTGCTTTTGGCTCACGTCCCTTCTCTTTCCTGAGCTTTGATTATGTCACAGCAATGGATGAGTGTGATTTGAAGGCTGCCAAATTCCTTCTAGTCTTGGTCAAGCTGTATCATGTTAAGAATCCCTAAATCAGTCTACTTCTATCTGTCAGTTTGGTCACCATTCTGGCTTAGACCATTCATTATTGTTCCCTTGAATACCATAGAATGCTCTTTACAGATCCTACTGCTATTTGTTCTCTGCAGAGCAGTCAGAATGATCTATTTAGTAACACAAACCTGATAATGCCACTCCTTTCTGTGCTGGTTATTCTCCATGTGCCTCTCCATCGCACTGCTGTTCATCTCTGCCCGGCTTTAGACCCCAGCTGGGTGAGGGTCGGGGGTGCTGATGTCAATGGGTTTCTCTTGATCTCAGGCTTCTCTTTGAGTTCAGCCAATCTAAGGAGTGTTTCCTCCCACTTGGGTGCTACAGTTCCATGACTGGCCGTGACTGTCCATGATCACAACCCCTCTGGGCACCTCCCACCACCGTGTCCTGGCTCCAGTTCCCCTGGTGTCTTCCTGTTGCTTCTGTAGGCACAAAGGTGATACTTGCTTTGCTTGGGTACCTCAGTCCCCTTCCTTGTTTTCACCCACACCCATGAGAAGAATTCCTTCTTTAAATGATCTGAAACATTTCCCTTACATATGGTTCAAGCAAACCAGCAGTTTCCTGCTGAGGTTATAACTGCTCTCCCCTCCACTGATTTTCTGATGGTCTCAGGATAGAGACTGAGCTCTTGTTTACGTACCCCCAAAGCCCTGGTAGAGCCTACCCACGACTCCAGTTTGGCCATGTTAGTTCTCTCTCCCTCTTGTGATCTGTTACCCTAGCCTTTCCCCAGGTCTCATAATGCTGGATGCTCATTTCCACGTTTATTTCTTCCTGGAAATCTCTCCTCATCCTCCCCTTTCTCTTCTCGAGTTTACTTACCTTGGGAGCTTAGAGTGGATGTGCCTTGGAAAGTTCTTTACCAATCACCAGATGAGGCATACCATTAGTTCCTGAAATTTTCCTTTGTTCCCATGTCACAATGTATGTAATTACAGAAGTTCCTTGACTTAGAATGGGGTTACTGTCACAAAATCCATTGTGAAAATATCCTACATCCAAAATTCATTTAATCTACCTAACCTGCTGAACAGTACATGAGGGAACTTCAAAAAGTTCATGGGAAAATGGAATTAAAAGAAAAGTTTGTTTTGGTGTAAAACATTTTGAAATCTGTGTGTAGCTTTTTTTTTTTTTTTTTTGACAGGCAGAGTTAAACAGTGTGAGAGAGAGAGAGAGACAGAGAGAAAGGTCTTCCTTTTCCGTTGGTTCACCCCCCAAATGGCCCCTACGGCCGGCATGCTGTGCCCATCCAAAGCCAGGAGCCAGGTGCTTCCTCCTGGTCTCCCATGCAGGTGCAGGGCCCAAGCACATGGGCCATCCTCCACTACCTTCCCGGGCCACAGCAGAGAGCTGGACTGGAAGAGGAGCAACCAGGACAGAATCTGGCGCCCTGACCGGGACTAGAACCCAGGGTACCGGCACTGCAGGCAAAGGATTAGCCTAGTGAGCCGCAGTGCTGGCCCCGTGTGTAGCTTTTAACATATAGATTTGCCATTAACTGTTCAAAGTTTCCTTGTAGCTCAGCCTAGCCTACCTTAAACATACTCAAAACACTTACACTAGCCTACAGTAGGACAAAAATCTTCGAACATGAAGCTTTGATCTTCGAACAAAAAAGCCTTCAAACATGAAGTCTACTGCAAAATTACCACCACAAAGATTACTGTATAATAGCATGTGGAATATCTCATGGAATTTATCGAGTACTGTACTGAATGTGAAAAAAAAATGGTTATTTTGTATCCTTAGCCTGGGAAAAGATCAAAAGTCAAAATTTGAAGTACAATTTCTACCAAATCTATACAGCAATATAGATACACACCATTGCAAAGATGAAAAACAAGTTGAACCACTCTAAGTCAGAGGCTATCTGTTTTTGATCAGTCTGTCTCTACTAGACTCCAAGGAATAGAAAAGCAGGCAACAAATCAATTAGGCTCACTTTTAGATACCCTGTATCTAGCATGGTATTGTACTACTTTGTAGACCCTCAATAATGAATTGTTGAGTAGGGGCCACTGTTGTGGTACCATGAGTTAAGCCACTTCTTGTGACATTGGCATCCCCTATCAGAGTACTGGTTCAAGTCCTGGCTGCCTCACTTCCAATCTAGCTTCCTGATAATGAATAATGAGTAATGAATCTAGAGGATGATAGCCCAAGGACTTGGACCCCTGACATCCATGTGAGAGAACAGGACAGAGCTCCTGGCTCCTGGCTTTGGCCTGGCCTGGGCCTGGATGTTGTATGATTTGGGAAGTAAACCAGCAGATGGAAGATCTCTGTCTCTCTCTCTTTCTATCACTCCCACTCTATCCTTCAAATAGATAAGTAAATTAATCTTTAAAAAAGAATTTTGGAGTAATAAATATATTTGTAATATAAGCTTAAAACCCAAATTAACATAATCTAAAATAGCCATATTCAATAAGCATATATTGAATAAATATATATGAATATATCTTCAATAAATTTAATTCAAAATCAAATATTTTATTGTTGGCAATCAGAAAATGGGTTGGCGTTTCAAGGTCATTTTTAAAATATAGAGGCTGTGATGGGGACTTGAGTCTTCGGATTTCACATAACTTAATTTTCCCCCCAGCACCTTCAGTTCCTTTTGGATATTTTTGGAAATCCTGTATCCAAACAAAGCAAGGCAAGGAAAATTTATACCCCCACCACCACCACGTGTGTGGTATGCAGTGGAGCAGAAAAACAATCAGAAATGCACTTGATGAAGGAGAAAGCAGCAGAATGCACGTCCCTGGGCAAAGCATCTTGGGGAAGCCAGCCCAACAGCTGCTTGCATTAAAAATGATTGCTTTGTATTTATGGCAGACAGGCAACAATAAGCAGTTTATAGCCTATAATCTAACACAAACGACTTAGGAAAATATTCTTAATAGATAATTCAGCCGAGTGTCTCAGGGCGTTAGGAAGCACAGCAGGGAACACTCAGAATTAGCCTTTGTTGATCTGACAAATCCTCATGGACCGGCAGGATGTTATACCATTCCTCTGCACAGTTTTATATTTTCCCACTTAGGGAGACTCTGCAGGAGTTGCCAAACTCCAAGGACGCAGACCCTGCCAGGTACCACCTCCCAACACCAATCCCCCCGGTGTCCCTGTTGTCCTCTTAGCCAACAAATCCTCAGATCCTGGGCTGTATCGAGCCCAAGAACATGAAACATGACCTTGTAAAATATCAGTTCCTGGATTTTTTTTTCCTCCCCTAATTTTGGGGATGTTATCATGGCAGAAGAAAAATATCATTTTCCACACTCCATTCTGGAAAATGATACGCATGTGTGGGAATGCTGAGCAGGCATGATTGCTGGGACAGGCATGGTATCAGACTGACAGGCTGGCCAAGAGTTTGGGTGTTGTAAGGGGTCAGTTGAAGAACAGAAATAGGTTCTGGAGGGCTTCATGTTCTCTGTGGATTGGTTACATGAGAGAGAAGCCCTGAATAATCAAAACAGCAGGAAGCCAAGTGGTAAAGAGGCGTGGGAGAGTCCAATGCCCTTGCCCCTTTGTTCCAGGTCTCTTCCCAGTGCCCTGGACTTGGCTGGAGCTTGGTGATGCACACTGGGGACTGAGACAGAATCTTACACAAATCGTGTTGGGTCCTGTATCGCACATGTCCATCATCAACTGAATTGCTGGGCTCTTGTCTCAGGCATCCTTTTCTCTCTCAGACCCATCTGAGACCACTCTTTCTAGCAGAGGCCATCTACTTTACTTGTTAACTACAACTTAGACTTCTGTCTGCCAGAAGGAATACCACTTCCTGTTCCTGACTACAGGCAAGACTTGCATGGCTTCTTTCACCGATCTCCTCAACCATGTTGAATTGTTCAGACCTGTGCTTCCATCTCTCTTTCTGCTTAAGCTCTTAAGACTCAGAATCAGGGATGGAGGGACTGGTGTTCCAGCTTTCATAGCCGTGAACTCTGTTGGGGAAGTTATTTAGGTTCTCAGAGCCGGTGTGTGGCACACAAGGTAAGACTCTGCTTCCCCCATTGGAGTGCCTGCGTTTGAGCCCCTGCCGTACTTCCAATCCAGCTTCTTGCCAATGTGTATCCTCAGAGGCAATGAGTGATGATGGTACAAGTAGTTGGGTCCCTGCTGTGATTTGAACCCCAAGAACTTTTTCTATGGATGGTGAAATCTGTGGCCCATGAATGAGCAGATGAAAAAGTGATTTTAGCATAGTTTATTGGAAAAAAGGAAGAGACAGAAATTGCTACACCTGACAGACCAGGTAGGCATCTCAGCAAAGGGTTGAGAGTTTGCATTCAGACTGGGGTTTTTATGGACATGAGTATGGGTCCCCGTTTCTTGCATCCTCCTCTTCTGGGAAAGTCCGGGTGAGGGATTTTTGGATGTGGAATTCCCCTAAACAAACCCTTCCAGACAACACTGGCCATCAGGGTTCTTAACTATTGGAGAAGCAAATGACTCCTTCAGTCCGGGAGGGCAAGCTGTATCACTCAGTGAATTCCTTTGATAAAGGACAGACAAGGACACCCTTGTCTAGGGGAGAGAGACAAGAGGCTGGGTCCCACTTTCAGGACTTGCTTCCTCTTTCCATTGCACATAAATTTACTTCTTTAAAACTTCTCATTATCTTTCACCCCTCTTAACACAATGGCTAATATCTACCTAGCTGTCTTAACACTGCCATTCACCTGGGAGACCTGGATGGAGTTCTAGTTCCCTGGATTTTGCCTGGCCCAGTCCTGGCTGTGGTGGGCATTTGGGGCATGAACCAGAAGGTGGAAGAGCTCTCTCCTTTGCTCTTGCTGTCACTGTCACTGTCACTCTTCTTTTCAACTAATTAAAATGTAAGTAAATAAAACTTAAAAACTCAGTATCCTTGGATATAAAATGTGTGTAAGAATGACTCCAACTTCATACCAGTGTGCTGTGTATAGTAGGTAGCCCTTGGTCCTCCTTCCCCACCCTTCCTTTTTGTCCTTATTATTATGAAGATCATCTCTCTTGGCTTGCAAATTCTCACAGAATGTCAAAAAAAAAAAAAAAGGACTAATTCCTACTGGATAAGGTCATTCTACTTAAGTCCAAGAGAGATAAAGAAGTCTGGACATCGACCTGACCTCAAAGAGCATGTGGTCCAGTTAGTGATGTGTAGGAACCAACACTTAAGATGGGAAACTGTAAGTTCCCATCCAAAGTAGTACAAAGTACTTTGAGCATAGAAGAAATAAGCTCCATGAGCTTGAGATACTTTATCAAAGAGGCAGGATCTCTACGGTCACAAAAAATTAAGAGGAGGGGATAAATATTTTGTATTGGAAAGGGTCATCAATAAAGATCTTTAGTTTTAAAACAGCATAGCAAGTTCAAAGGACAACTGGTAGACCACAAGCCAAAGTCCTGTATGAGAGTACTTGAAAAAGTTCATGGAAAATGGGATTCAAAAATAACCTTATTTTGGTGCCAGAAACTTTTCTGAAATGCATGCATAGTCTTTTCATAATAAGCATTTTCCATGAACTGTTTACAGCAAAAAAACAAGTTGCAGAAAATAACCACAAAGTGTTTCCATTAGTACAACTTTTAAGCTACAGATCAATACTACATATGAATTTTTAGACACATATATAAGCAATAAAATTATAAGTACATTACTGAAAAAGATACAGGCCATTTTCAGGACTGCAGTTACCTCTGGGGAAGAGAGTTGGAAAATGAGATTGTTAAGGACATAAAGTCCTTAGCTGAACGCCCTATGGCTCAGAGAAGACAGAAATTTCCAATGAAAAATTAAACCTTCGACTTGTGCTTAGGTAACTACAAGTGTAAATTTATACCACTTGCATGGCAGAAAAATTGCTAACTGAGAAGTTGAGGTTAAAAAGAAAGTAGTCTAGGGCTGATGAATCCCCTGAAGCACTTGGCAAAAGCATTTTCACAATTCATGGTATGAGTGACTGAGTCACACAGTCACTCTCTCTCTCTCTCACACACACACACACACACACACACACACACACATCTCTACTGATGATCAGCTCACAAATAAAACAAACACATGAGAGGAATCCATCACACGGGAGTAGGGAGATGTCACTCACTGGAGAGGTAGCTTTCCAAGGACCTGATATAATACAACCTTCCTGAAGACATAATAAAATAATCAAGGGGTTCTCATTCCCACTGTGGGGCACCTCACAACATCTGCCCGGTGCCATTTGAGAATTGCTGTGGATCCACGACTGCTGTGTGGCTTCCTTTTCCCCCTTTCTGAATGACTGCATTCACTGAAATTATCCTGCTGGTTTTCTACACTGTGTAGGAGGTAGGGGCAGATATTTGTGTTTGCGTGGAGGGGTCTGGATCTGACGGAGTTTGAATTGGGGAAATGATCGCATGGGCCTTCACGTTGCTTCCCTGAGGAGAGGAGAGCTTGAGTGCGTCCTGTGTCAGGCACAAAGAGGGTGAAAGGATATTTGGTAGTCAGAAGAGCATAGCCACTTTGTGCTCTCCATATTCCCACGTGCTCCTCGATATTTCAAGTCATGGGCCATTAGCTAGGATCATGTGACTGTTGTAGGCAATGGACTACAAGTGACAGCAGTCGCTTCTGAGCTGAAGCACAGAAGATGTGGGATCTCCTGGTTTCTCTTCTCGTTCCTCAGTGACAGTGGCAGCTACGTCTTGAGTCAGTTCAGCCACTAGATGGAAACAGCTGGATTGCTGAATCACTGCTTGAAGGCAGCTGCACACCAAGCATGAGAGAAAAATAAACTTTCATGTGTTAAACCAGAGCTCATGGTGTGTGTGACTTCACACACACACACACACACACACACACACAATGCTTATTGAAAATAAGCTCACATTGAAGAATTCAAACTATGAGGGGAATAGCAGACACAACAAATTGAATTTGTGACCCAAGAGCCTGAAGTAAATGTTGAGAAGTGTATTTTGAATATTTCAAGTAACATTTATAGAAATATAGGCTTCAATTTGATAAATATGATAAAAAGCCTATTTGAAAAAGAAACTAGTAGACCTTTTAAAAATGAAAACAATGCATTTCAAACTGAAAAGTCAGTGTAACACATGCGCATACATGTTTACTTCTTTTGTGGCAAAGGTAAAATTGAAATGCAACAGGAAGTATAGACTTTCAAAACTTAATTCTTCACCAATTGGATGCTTATGTGAGGAAATTGAATCGTGATTTATATACTACCTTTTGCAAAATAATTCCAGATGTACTATGGATCTAAATATTTTTAAAAGTTTCTAAAGGAAAGCACAGAATAACATTTCTAAGTAAAAATGTCTTTTTAAAAAATATTTGTTTATTTGAAAGTCAGAGATACAGAGAGAGCGGGAGTGACAGAGAGAGAAAGTAATCTTTTATCTGCTGGTTTATTCCCTAGATGACCACAAGAGCTGGGACCAGGCCAGGCTGAAGCCAGGAGCTTCTTCCAGGTGTCTCATGTGGGTGCAGGGGCCCAAGCACTTGGGCCATGCTCCGCTGCTTTTCCCAGGCCAGTAGCAGGGAGCTGGATCAGAAGTGAAGCAGCCAGGACTTGAACTGGCACCCATATGGGATGCTGGCATCACAGGTGGTGGCTTTACCTCCTATGTCACAACACTGGCACTGATGTAAAGATTTCTTAAATGGAATAAGTATGAAACATAAATCATGAAAGAATATCCAACTTGGCTTGAATCAAGAATTTCTGTTGACAGACACCACTATGAGCATAAAAAGGCAAGACATGGAGTGGGAGAAGATATTCACTTGGTCCATACAGGATGGAAGAGCTTCTGAAAGTTTATGGAAAACTCCCGTCATCTTTTAATTACATTTTACCACTAACTTTTCAAAGGCCCCTCCTATCTCTGACAAAGGTTTGCTATTAACAGTATCTTAGACACTCATGCAGGTTAATAATAAAGGTAGGGGGCTGGCGCCCTGGCTCACTTGGTTAATCCTCCCCAATCTGGGTGCCGGTTCCATCCCAGTTGCTCCTCTTCCAGTCCAGCTCTCTGCTGTGGCCCGGGAGGGCAGTGGAGGATGGCCCAAATGCTTGGGCCCCTGCACCCACATGGGAGACCAGGAAGGAGCACTTGGCTCCTGGCTTCGGATCGGCGCAGCGCCAGCCATAGCGGCCATTTGGGGAGTGAACCAATGGAAGGAAGACCTTTCTCTCTCACTGTCTAACTGCCTGTCAATAAATAAATAAATAAATAAATAAAGGTAAAAAGTCCACCAGAAAAATAGGCCAAAGACTCAAATAGGCACTTCAGAGAGGAAGCTTTGCCAAGGCCAGTTGGCATTCAAAAAGGGGTCAGCATTATTAATCATTAAGGATCTGCAAATGAAACTTCAGTGAGACACCAATACCCTATCAGCAAAGTGAATAAAAAGAAACAAATGAAATAGCAAGTGTTGGCAAAAATAGCAAGGAACTGGAACACTCTTTCCTGCCGTAGGGGTGTAAGTTCATTCAGTCACTTTGGAGAAGTATAACACAGGACAGAACTAAACATGTACTGTCCTATGTGTTAGGCGAATAATGGCTCCCTAAAGATCCACCTCCTAATACCCAGAATCTGTTCATATGTTAGTTACATGCAAAGAGAAATTAAGGTTGGTAATCACCTAATCTTAAATTAGGGAGGTGTTCCAGGACTGTCAAGTGGCCCCAGTGTAGTTACAAGGTCTCTTAAAGGGCGAGGAAGGAGGCAGGTATTTGGTTAAGATGCTGGCTGAGGCACCTGTGTCCCACATCAGGGTGCCTAGGTGTGAGTGCTGGCTCCAGGTCCTGCTTCCAGCTTCCTGTTAATGGAGACCCTGGGGGGCAGCAGGTGAGGACTCAAGTGATTAGGTTCCCACCTCCCACATGGAAGACTAGGATTATTTTCCCTTTTCCCTCACTCTTGAGGGCATTTGGGGAATAAGCCAGTGGAAGGGAGTTCTTTATATGTCTCTCTGCCTGTCAAATTTTAAAGAAGGAGGAGGAGAAGGAGGAGCAGGAGGAGGAGGAGGAGGAGAAGGAGGAAGAGGAGGAAGAGGGGAGGAGGAGGAAGAAGAAGAAGAGGAAGAGGGAGAAGAGGGAGAAGAGGAAGAAATGAAAGTGGAAGATACAATCAGATGAAGGAGTGAGAAGAATTCATAGGAAGTTAACTGGAGAAAGGTGAGTAGTAACCAAGGAAAGGAAGTGGCCTCTAAAACCTGCGAAAGCAAGGAGGCAAGGACATAGAGTATCTCCGAGAGCTGCCAGAAAGGAGCACAGCCCTGCCACCACCATGATCTTAACCCAGTGAAATTCACGTTGCACTTCTGACCTATGCTGCTACAGTATGGTAAATGTGTGTTATTTAAAGCTTCTAAATTTCTGGCAGTTTTGCACAGCAGAGATAAATATCAGTCTATCCTGTAATCCAGAATTCCATCCTTAGATATAGACCCAAAAGAAAAGTAGAGATATGTGCGCCGAAAGATATGTACAAGAATACTCATACAGTCCTGTTCATGGGTGCTTCAAATGAGAAACTCCTCGAATTTCTATAAACATATAACATTGTAGTCATCTTAATATAATGGAATACTAAGCCATGATGAAAAATGAATGATACACACAGAATGATAGCACTTACAAACATAATGTTGAAAAAAATAAGGCAAGAGAATTTAAGTTGAAAATCCCATTTATATTAGGTTCAAAAACTAGTAAAACTCATCTGTGGTGTTAGAATTGGGATTGTTGCCTTGACAGGGATTCTGGTGCCTGAGAGGGAGTGAACAGGGGGATCTGCAGGGTGTTAGCCACATTCAGTCTCTTAATTTGGGGTGTTAGTATCACCGCACAGCTTGTGAAATTATTTGAGTCTATCTTTATGACTAATGCAGATTTGTGTATGTTTGCTAACTTCAATAGAAACCTGTGCTTTAAAAAAAGCAATAAATTAAAAAAAAGATCAGAATATAAACAAGGTGAGAACTGAAAATTGAGAAATGGATCTGAGATATTGACCATAAGTTGACAAAGAAATTTTAAATTGAGAAAGATCAGTTTATTTGTATTAAATTCTCCATAAAGAATAAAGATAATAAGAAATAAAAGATTCTTAGGGATCCCATGCTAAAAAATATCCTGACCTAATAAAAGACAGAATGCCTTAGATTTGGAAAACAGGACAAAGCAAAATGACAATAAATAATACATGCCTTGAAACACAGTGATTAAACCAAGAAATGCCATCAACAACTGTTGAGAATGGAAGCCAGTAGAAAAAGGCTTTCTAAGTACAATCAATCTTGGTAGATTTTCTTCTTTATTCTGGTGTGTTTATCAAGGTATTGCTTCCAGAAGGGTAAATTTTTCTTTTTAGGGTATGGTTCTATGAATTTTGACAAATGGATGTATTCATACAACTTCTTTTACAGTCATGATATAGAATAGTTGCATCACACACAAAACATTTCCTCCTGCCACATTGTGGCCAACCCTTCTACCCCTCCTCCCAGTCCATGGCAACCACTGATCTGTTTTCTGTCCCTATAATTTTCATTTTCCAGAACATCATATAAATGGAATCATGCAGAATGTAGCATTTTCTGCTGGGTTTATTTCACTTAATATAATGCATTGGAGATTTATCTATGCTATAGTATATTTTTGTGGTTCACTTTTTATTGATAAATAATATTTTAGTGAATACATTTAGTATCTACCTATTCACCAGTGCAAAGACAATTAGATTGCTTCCAGTGTTTGATATTTATGAAATATCAGCACACAATGTTCTCTCTGAACATGTTTTTATTCTTTGAGAAAAGTAACCTAGGATTGGTATCTCTAAGTCAAATGGCAAGTACATACTTAACTTTATAAGGAAACTGTCTAGTATTTTTTCTCTAGCATCTGTATCCCTTTCATTCTTAACAACAATACTCATATTTGATCATTTTGGTTGCTCCTTACCCTCACCAGCACTTTGCACTATCCTTTGTTTCTTCCAAAGCTAGTAGATGGGTGGTGATATTTCAGTGTGGTTTTAAATTGCATCATTTCATGTGCTCATTTGTCATTGGGATACTTCTTTGGTTCAGTATCATTCAAATCTTGGCCTATTTCAGTTGGATTGTTTCTTCTTGACTGTTACAACTGTAATTTGAAGCACAGTACTTTTCTATTTAGATACAGACTAATTTATCAACACTTTATTTTATGTATGTGATGTTCTTGGCATAATATCTGAGAGATATTTGCCTAATCTAAGATCACAAAGATTTCCTCACTTGTTTTCTTTTAGCTATTTTCTCCATTTAAGTTTATGCTCACTTCAAGTTCACTGTTGTCAGGGGAGCAAGGTATAGGAAATTTTGTGACTTTGATTTTTGTGTGGATGTCCAATTGTTCCACTACATTTGTTGAAAAGATTGTCTTTCTCTATTGAATTGCTTCTATACCTTTGTCGAGTCAGCTAACTATATATGAATGGATCTATTTGTAAACTCCCTATTCCATGCCATTTATCAATGCGTCTACTTTATCACAAATGCCACAGTTTCTTATTTATTTAACTTTATATTGTCTCAAAATCAGTAGTGTACTTCCTCTAACTTTGTTCTTCTTTTTCAAATTGTTTAGACTATTCTAATTCCCTTTCATTTTCATATAAATTACAATTTGTCAATTTCTACCAGAGTGTCACTTGAGATTATGTTAAATCAGTATGTCAATTTGGGGAAGGATTGACGTCTTTAGAATATTTGTCTATCAACCATACCTTTGGTATGTCTCTGCATTTATTTAAGTCTTTTTAAACTTCATTTTTTTTTTAGTTTTAGCATATAGTCCTTGAATAAATTTTGTTAGATATATATCTATTTGTTTCATGAGTTTTGATGATGGTATAAATTATTTAAAATTCTGATTTTTTAATTATTAGTATGTGAGAGTACGTCAAAAAATTTGTGGAAAATGGAATTAAAGAACAAGTTTATTTTCAAACAACTCTGGAAACTCATGCATAGAATTTTTTATAATATGCATTTCAATGAACATTTTGAAGACCCTTTGTATGCACGGCTCCAAATTTTTTTGCATCAAAATAAGCTTATATTTAATTTCCACTTTCTTGAACTTTTTTGTACCTTCATATAGAAAAATAATTGACTATGTGGTCTTTTATTCTGTACTACGTTAGTGCTAGAAGCTTTTGTGTGGACTGGCTCTTTGGCATTTTCTACATACTAATCTTATTATGTGGGAACAGAGA